GCCTATGAAGATGTATGGTTTCACTTTAAAAGAGTGTGCTGCTGTATAGACGATGTTAGGTATAAGCTGTTTCCAGAAGTAGGTGAATCTTAAGGTCAAAAGTTGTGTATAAGGTAAAATAGGTGGCTAAAAAGTCACTTACTGTTCTTCCATCTGCTCTTTCCAGCATTAAACGCCTGCTGGTAACCTTGTTAAAACCAGGCTCCTGGCTGAAATGTGAGAGGGCTGTGGGAATCCATTAAGCTGTTTAAAATTTACTAGAATAATACTTGCTAGGTATGAAGTACCTTCCCCTTGATGACTGGACCTAGTACTGTCTAAACTTGATCATACTAATCTCATAAAGTCTATATCGTGGTAGGTAAGTATCATTTCTTACAGGTCAGACTGCTGAGACACAGACAAATGACGTGCCCCTAAGTAATACAAGACCCAGAAATAAAACACAGCCTTTATTTATTATAAAGAAATTAGGGAGTAAATTGCAAATGACTGTTTGCCTCTCCCTAAGACTGCTACTGCCTAGCAACGATTGCCAGATAGGATAAACATCATTAACTGTAAAAAATTTAATGTCTAAAAGACATTAGGATTGCTGATATGCAGTCTTGAGGTGTCTCCATGCTATTTTAAAATATTATCTGGCTTTGCATTTTGAGTCTAAGAGTAGTCCCAGCCTTGCCCATGGTATGCGTATGCATGCATGTGCACACTCGTACGTATGTAATGGAATTTGTATTGCGGCTATGGTATGATTACATATACCAGGGAAATGCTTCCGCAGCCAAAATAAAAATTAGAAATCTTGCACACTACTTGCAGAAGCTTCTCGGGAAATCATTCGAGCTCACTCTTCCTGTCAGGCTGGGGAATATGCCTCTTAATTTCCCCTGACAGAAAACATATCACCTCATCAGCAGCCCTAAAAAATGACAAAACATCCCCGCCAAAAAAGACTGACTGCCAGACGCTTTCACTGCCACTGCAGCAAGGGGGACAGGGAGAGGAGGGGCGTGCTTCAGAAATTTCAGGAAAGTAGAATAATTTACCTTTCTACCTATAGAGTCCCACTGTTACGCCTTGTATTGCCGCAAAACGTTCATCTTGCAGTCAAGGTGTGACCCTTGAAAAATTAATTTGAGCCAGAGGGTTCATGGCCATTTAATTCTAAAAGAATTATTTATATTCATGAATCTGGGTAGTATAAAACTCTTGCAATGTTTGAGCCAAGGCAAACATCTCGATGCAAAATCTACACCTGCAGATCTCTTACATATTTAAGTGACAGAACAAATGCCGCTCAGTCACATACTGTGCTGTGGGCATTAAACTGTACCAGTGGTGATCTCATCTGAAGTCTTAAAGACGTCGTAGCACTACTAATAACAAAATTTGAATTTATTGAAATATTTTCTACTGTAATTTGGTTTAAATGAGTAAGGTATCTTAAATAAACTTCAAAAAGCTCTTGAATCGTTGCATTTCTGGGTCGCACACAATTACATTCAGAGTCTGTATGTCAAATGATACATCAGGACAGAGGATCTCGGAGGATCTTTATAGATAATTATTGTAACGTTTATCATTATTTTGTTATATTTCTATTGCTGGGGTCTTTTTTCTATTTTTTTTTTTAAATAATAAACCAAAATTATGATGAGATCAGAATATTTTATCATCAGTCTGCGTACTTGTGGAACCCTTGCACCGACATATTTTTCTCCACACTAAAGGGTTAACTTTGTAAGTTGGAGTGGCAGAGCTCACTCTGTATATGTATAGTGTGTGTATATAAGCACACTACCTCTGGTAAATACACTAATATTGTATTTTTTTATAAATATACTACAATGGACCAGCTTCCTATTACGGTGAAATTACAGAGTCACAGAGAGGACTGCATAATTCACATTACTGCATGAATGGTTCTAGTTCTCATGTTGCAAAGATAATTTTCAAGCTGCGAACTGGGTGGAAACGGGTGCTGTCATGACTGCATTAAGTGTTTGGACAGCCTGAAACTTAAACCTGGAGAGTTTTGAACGTCTCTTTCTTCATTTCGGTGGGGATTAGGCTCTTGGCATGTAGGAAAGTAGAACGCATTGGAATAATTCAGGGTTTCTAAGAGTTGCTGAAGTGATGATGATATTTATGACTGGAGGTTTTTCTGTTATATAGCTGGGTGGTCATCTGTTGTGTGACAGAAATGATCTCTATTTTTTTTTTATTTGTGAGATGGACTTCTGCCAATCATTTGGCTATAAGAGGAGCCAGAGGACCCTTGGGAAAGGGTGGGACGTAACAATGTTCCAGCAGACCCGAGGTTGTGCGCCTTCCACATCCAGCCCCGTAGAGAGGGTGACTGCAGTAGATCATCAGTCCTATTGTACCGTACCCTCTGCAGGATGCAAAATCCTTCCAACTTACGTCTATATAGGTAGAGGTACATTCTGTACGGACATATGTGTATTACAAACATAAGTAATGTATATGTGTGTGCCGAGTATAGTTTGGCACGCTGGTGTTCTGATCTAAATGGAGAATTTTATTATATATAGTTCTCTAAGTTCAAAGTATTCAGATCCAGGTCTTGACCAGCAGTGAAATTATGATTTTCATTTAGGTGCACGTTGTGACTTTGAACGTTTCAGAGCCAAGTTTACTGGCTGAGGCCTTTCTCTTGTGTATTAAATTCATGACTGTAATAATGGACTTCCATTGGTTTGGTTTCAAAGATTTGTGCATCATAGGGATTTGGGAGTTAAAAGAAGTGTTAAAACTATGTGGGTAGCTACTTTGGTTTGAATTAGTTTAGCAAAACTTACTGGCTTTAGAAAATGCAACAGTTTCTCTTTTAAGATGTGTCCAGAAAGCTCACAGATTAGGAAAACAACTTGCCTGTCCCAAAGTTTTGTAGAATCAGGTTCCAGATGCCTGTTAAAATCAAACTTAATTTAGATAAATCATTCCTGATTTTTAGCTCCAATGCCTTGCTTTGACTTTACAGAATATGTTTGAGTATGTTGTATCAGTAGGTTTTTTATTTCTGCAAATTGTTTTTTAATGGACACTATTTTAAAATTCTATAATGAAAGTATTTATTGGCAAATAAATATAAAAACAATCTCCCTAGGGCTAGGAGGGGATTGTGGTGGTAGCTGTTTTACCTTGCTTGTTTCTGGCGGTGACATGATGCAGTGCTATTTAATAAAATATAATTTCTGCAGGGGTGGGATTTTGAAGTCCTTGAAAATATTAGCACTTACAATCCTGCATAGGTTAAGGAGTGAATAGTGTGGTGAAAATAAGTCCCAAGGACATAATTATAGGATACCGTTTGGTTGTGTACTGCTTGTCCTGCCAACATGAAGAAGCAGGCACACTGAGAAGAATACGGCTGGAGAAATTTGAGGAATATAATTGGGGCGTGCTGGCGAGACTGATGCAGAGCAGACGTCTCTTCCATCTCCTCTGGTGCCCCACATCGCTTTATATTGCTCATTTGAAGATGTCTAGGTTTGTTGTTTTTTTTTTTTTAAATTATCCAAGTTGGAGTTGAACCAGGGAATTAGGAATAAATTATTTGTATTGCAGAATTCCTTCGTATTTTAAAGATGCTTACATTCAATGTTGATAATGAAGCTCCTCATATAATTCAGTATATTGCTGCTCCTTGTAACAGCCATAAATTCTCTGCAGTCCAGTATGTGCTGATATACTAGAAAATGATGCATCTTGTTTATTAGTTCAATATCATCAAATAGCCAGGGGAATTCATGCAGGAGGCATTTTTACACAGGGCTTCTGCCTGCAAAACAACTCTGGCAATGCCAATGGGAGGTTGCATGTTTGTCTCGTACAGTGAGAGCTGGGAAGAAATTGGTTTTGATGTGCCTTCAAGTGCAAACACAAACTGCGTGGCGAGGACTTGCTTTCTTGTGCATCGTTCCCAGCAGCGGTGGCTTAGCAGACCAAGTTTGTTGGTACTTGTTACCAACTCTTGAGTCTTTTGTGTCTTTTCCAGATACAGCTGGCTGGAATTTGTTCAAGCATTTTATTTGTTGGCATACAGGAAAGGAAGGCAGTTCCCTTGCTCTCTCCCTTACCAGTGTAGCTTGGTACAGTTTCTACAGCATGAAAAAAAGAAATTAAAAGATAGCTTTGAACGCCTCAGTGGAAGAATTAGAAGGACAGATCTGACTAGTTGTTTTTAGGAGTTGTGTTGCTATTTGTTTTCATTTTCAGTGTGATAAATGAGATTTTGCCAGCTTGTGTGGATTCTCTTCAGAAATTAAAGCTATCGGCTTCCAGTGTGGACGCACATTTGAATGTGATTGAACTACAGTTGAGTTACAGCTCAAGAAGTCCCAGTGCCCATCATCTTAGTTGCCATCACAGCATAGGTGCATGCTTTTAGCCTGTCCCCACTGCGAAGGAAGAAGTCGAAGTTCAAGGCACGACGAAAGGTCCCTCCGGTCCAGCTTGGATATCAGCTGGAGTCCTGCAATGCCATCTTCCACAGCGTAACCTCAGTGACAGTTGTTAGATCCAATGATCTTATGTTTACAATGCAACATAAGAAAAGACAAACAAATTACATGACAGTGCTGTTGGACAGCGTGGTTTTTAAGAGACTGAATGCAATCTTTTAAGATATACAAAATTCCTGAAAAGATCTTTCTTTCTTCTTAGTTAGTACTATCACATCAGATTCAGTTTGCGACTTTGTAATCTTTATGTGGGCAAACGGTGGCAGTCTAATTCTGAAATTTGCTTTCTGTCTCTCTTTTATGACAAAATGCATTATTATCATAGCAGTACTACAGAGCAGATCGTAATAACGTCAGTAGAAATGCGTAACGTGGTATTTGCTAATAGCATATAGCGTAGCTCATGAATATTTGGCATTTTCTTCTTCCCAGTTGCTTCGTAGTTTAAAGAGAATTTTCTCGTTTGAGCTTGTCACTTCTGATGCTGATTCATCCTTTAATGTCTTCCAGCTTGCCACTTTAGAATTCCCTCCAAAGAAGCTCTTTGGAAACAAGGATGAACGAGTAATTGCAGAACGACGGAGTCACTTAGAGGTAATGCCAACTTCTTAACAGGCTTCTGCAGTGTATTTGGGTGGCGTACTCTCTGCTTGACCAACAGAAACCATTCCCATATGGTCAAAGTTAAATAGCCTGCTTGTAAGTATGAAGTTACTTGCTGCCTCATTTAACACAGGAGATGGCAGCAGTAGATTGCAAAGTAATGAAACGTGCCTTAAAAAAATTAATCCTAGTCTAGTGAAAAAAAGCATCTCTTCAGAGGTATTCATAGGAGGTATATTTATTTAAGGGGGAAAGGTTGTGGGTGTGGTGAGCGCTCACTGTAGACAGATGGTCTCCGTGCAAGACAAGATTAAAAAAAAATATTTCTACTTTAAATGCAATTTGTTAGCTGAAGATTTACTATTTTATCATAGTTACTCTATCCAAATATCTTGTGACAGAAGGAAAGCGATATTTAGGCATCTTTGAGCTTTATTTTGTAACCAGCATTCTCAATGTATTTCTTTCTTTCAATTAGTTTTAAAAATTAATTTTATTGTGGACAAGGTTACTGAGTTTATGAGGGATTGGGTTTATTTTGCTTTTTCTGCAGTGCTGTATGGATGGCATAATTTTGACTCCTGTCACACATTAGGTCTTTATATTTCTTTATTGATGCGTGTGTTATTGCAGCCCAGGGGCAGGAGGTGGGGTTTTGGGAAAGAAGAAGAGGTGTGAACAAAGACTAAACCATACACCCTGCAACTATATGGTAGCTACATGGGGATTACCTGATCATGCAAGTCATTAAGAATTATATTCTTTGTAGAGCTAAAGTAGCATTAAGTAGAGCTTTAGAGAAATTAATATAAAAGTAGATTGCTTCCAACTGGAATCTTTTCTTGCATGTTTTGAATTTTTTCTACGTAGTTCACCTTTTCTTTGATCTACAAACAAAACATCCTCCCACTGACTTTTGATGTAAGGCTGTCTTACATGTAGCACAAAATGTAATCTGTTTTTTGTTTCATGTCCTCTATAGAGGGCATAAAGGCATGGCCACATTACAGTCTAGTACTCAATTTGTGTATTTTTTTTGTACCAGTAAAAAATTTAATCCCTTAATCTGTCTGACCTGTCATTGATTTACTGACAGATTTTATTGTAATGTTTCTAAATGTTAAAACTGCTGCATATAGCGATGCTTTGATCATGGTTATATAGTACTTACAGCTCTCTATATAGCCAGTTTTTAGCTTAAAATTAAATTGTATCTATTTTAACTAAATTAAGCCATTAAAACTTACTACATAGATATTTTGCAAACCTAATAATAATAATAAATGACCACTGTTCACATGAATATATTTTGCCATATGCCAGATAGCACACTTGGTCATGACTCGATAACCCTGACAAATCATTCAGCGTTGGAGAAACTGAAGATCCCCCGTGGGCAATGGAAAGCTAGATAAAGAGGACAAGGAGCCAAGCAAATGTTACCATCCTTGTCATGAGGAATTTAATACAAACCCCCTTTATGTCTGGATCTCTAATAGTGGTATTTTCTTTTCACTACCTATTTTGCAGCGGTTTGCTCTGGCTTTGCCAATGGCTGGAGAGTTTCAGCTAACATAGCTGCAGCCTCCTTGGGGATGAGTGGGAGAAACCACCTAAGTAGTGATGGTTTCCGAAGTCACGTAATGCTTTAGAGCACATCTTGAGTTATACTGGGAAAGTATTTGGCAGGCAGAGAAAGTGCGACAATGGAAGATGGCACAGGCACCGCTTCTATTTAAAATACCAGCTGTTGCTGCCTTGTGGCTTTTGATCTGGCATGAACCTTGAGCACACTTCAGTGGGCTAACCGGAAAGTAGTAAATGGGTGGATTGCCTCTGTAAGGGACGAGGTTTCTTGGACTTTTGACTGTAGCATGCTTTTCACGTGGAAATTCCATCAGGTAAAAGGTGAGGGCATTAGACCTTGGTAATAAGCAGAAGCATGGCTTGGATTCAGGTGGCTTTCATACCTGATCCTGTACCTTGATGTGCTGAAAACCCTTTGCAATCTCTTTCAAGCCTCACAGGTGATGTGTTGTTACAGCCGTGGTATGGTATGAAAGCTTATTTGGTTGTTCTGCGTGGTTAGTCAAGAACTAGTGAGCTAATACAGCCTTTTTAGAAAAAGCAAAGCACAACTTCCAGGCCAACAAAAATGTATATTGTTATCCAACATCTGAGCTGACGTTGTTGACTAAAAATAGATGACAGCTTGACAAATATCAGTCTGCTAAGTGTTCTGAACAAATACTCTGTACTGTAAGATCATTAGTAGAACTGTCATCCCAGTGGTGGATGACAAAGAAATTACTCTGCTCTTCCAGTTTTTACATTAGGTATTTATACATCTTGAATAGGCTGTGACTTCATGTTGTTTTTCCTGAACTTTTTGGATTGAGGAGGGATAGTACAGTGTTGGCTAGTCCAGTGCTTTCCACAGGTCATCTCTGAGCACCGGCAGTTTCTTCTTCTAATTGACTATTTTGGCTTTTTAAGTATGCACATAAATTAACTTTCAAACTCCACAATGTACACCTGTGTGAGAGATAAGACAACTTAATCTGTCCTATCAGTCAAACAGCCTGACGAGAGTATTTGCTGGAATTAGCAGTTGTTTGCTGAAATGGCCTTGCAGGCTCTCTTTCTTTACATCAGAACTAAATGGCAGCTCTCAGTCTGATCTGGGAAGGTGAAGCAGATAGACTGGGAGTCATTGTAGGAGCAAAACTACTCTTCCAATTAACTAAGCACGCAACAATCAGAGAGCTGGTTCTAGTGCAGATATCTAAACTGTTGCTTTATTCAACTGAATTTGGCTTTAGTCAGGGAAATTTTCCTTGTGCCTAGTCATAGAAAGATTTTTTCCAAAACATCCCTTGCAGGACAGTTTAGGAAGAGTGTGCTTTTACTATGCATCACCTCTCAGATTCTTGCCAGAGTAGAAATGCTGAGGACAACGGGGGGAGGTTTGTGCTACCTTTCAAGGCAACTAGAATCAGGGAGGCTGGCTGTAGGTTTGCTTTGTTTGAAGGTTGTCATGTAGTTACCTTATTTCAGTTTGAGATTAGAAGTGGGTGTATTTCATCATAGTAGAGATGAAATTACTTGGGCTAAAAGACTCCAGAGAGCCCCAAATTATGAGGATTGTGATTTAAGATCACAATAAATACAAAGCTTATGTAAAACATGAAGTTCCTTTATTTATCCTAGCTGGTACAAATGCTTAATAACCAAAAGCTTCACAATACGTTGTTGATAGGCAAACACATTTTGCGTACATTTTTGTGTGAGATGAAACCGAGGAGAAATCTTTGATCTTCTGAGTGTGATGCCACCTTTGCTTTGGTGTTTGTTGGTGTAATATAAAGTCTTTTGACCAATATCTTACATTTCTATTGAGGGTTGGAAAAATAACAGGCAAGTTTGCACAAAGGTTTTGCCTAAACATCTTAAGAGAAAACACCTAAATTGTATTTAAAATTACCTATCCGAAATGCCCTATTGCAATCTATTAATTTAGTATTTCATCAGGGACCTGTTGCAGGGCAAAACTCTAAATTAATTGTTCCACAGTCTAAAGACTGTAATTTCTCTTCAGAGCCAACCTTGCTTGATTAAATCCGCCTTAAATGAAACAGCCAAGAATTCTTGTGATTAAAGTTAATGAATAGAAGTTAGTGTGTATCTATCTTTTCATGCAATTAGAAATCAGTAGATAACTGTATAGGATCCTTTTTTAAATGAAACCAGATGATGTATAGTCCTTTTTACATTTTTTAAGCAAAAACTTTGTAAAGGAAACACATGTCGCAAGAGATATGTGATTCAGTGAATGTATCTGTTCCTGTTTTAACTGCAGAATATCTTTTATTCCTTGGTGAGTTGCTGGATCTGTGGATGACAGTAAAAAGAAGTTTTCCTGAAATCCCACCTTCTTTGGAAACTGCATTTCTGTATCATATCATTCCCCTCCTTATTTTTCTTCCTCTCCTGGACTCATGCTTTGTTATAGTAATGAAGATTATTATTAGCCTCATTTTCCCATTGTGCAGCCAGAAAAATGGGGCAGGAGTAACTGTCTAAGCTGACATAGCAGACTGAGTTGTGTTTCTTGACTCCTTGGTGAGAAGCCTTGCAGCCATGGACCCCCTAGGCTTTCTTTTCTACTCTTGCTGTCACCAGCATGCTTAGGAAAAGAAAATATTGTTATGCCTACAAAAATCTCAACAGATTATTGCTTAAAGGAAAACAAAAACTGCCCCAAACCTCAGCCTGTTTCCTTGCCTCTCTTCCTTGTTTCCCATTCTCTATTCCCGCTGCTGCGTTTCCTCAGGTTGGTTTGTGGACAGCAAAGGGGAACATGCAAAGTCCCTGATTGAGGATGCCCCAACATACAGCAAAACGGTCGGTAGGAGTCGTGTTTTTCCTTTTGCTGCTACTTACAGAGCTCGGGGATGAAAGAAAGTCAACCTGTAACAGTATGGTAAAGTGAGCCTACGTCAAGTTTTGTAGGAACACATACATCTTCCTGGCGTTGTCTCTGCTCTTCGTTTTTCTTGGTACTTTGAACCTCTTTAAAAGATAGACACGCTCAATTTATTTAAAATTAATAACACAATTGTCCTTAACCTCCTCATCTCCTGATGTCTGCTGATGAGGTTTTCAGTGATAGGTGTTAATGCAAGAGGCAGAAATAAATCTTGTATGAACTACATAATTCAATTATCTTCTCAGATCTGTAGAACTGGCTGGGGAAAGCATCGCAGACACTGAACTGGCTGTAATATCACTGTTACCTACAGTCAAAATTAAGCTTCCAAAATAAGTTTCTTTAACTTTGAAGCCAAACGTTTTGTTTTGGTTTTAGTTTGTATTTTCACTTGAGTTCCTTTGGAGGTCATAATTTCTAGGTTGGTTTTTTTGTTTGTTTTGTTTTTAAAAGGCTCTAAAGCTAGCTGCTCCAACTTTCCCCTTTAAAAATGAAACTCTGC